TCGTGGGTCAAGAGGGTGGAATCAACAAGTATGATTCGACTGCTGGAGGCGGTGGAGGTACATTTGTAGTCAGAGGAAGGAGCACGCCTTTGATAGTAGCTGGAGGAGGCGGAGGCATGGATTATTCAAGATCAAGACATACAGAATGTGATGCTTCCACGGGCACAGCAGGGAGAGCTGGGTATTTGTCATGGTCAGGAGGAAGCGGTGGATACGGAGCTCAAGCCTTTGGCAACAGCGATTCAGGTTAGTGAAATGCATGACGAACATTTCAATCGCTAACACTTGTAAAAAAAAGTCCCATTTTTTTCAGTTGTGTGGGTGTGTTCGAGCAACTCGCTCGCTACACGATGAGGTACCAGGAATCTGATTTACATCTTGCCTTTATTCTTCTTAATCTTCTAACTCTTCCACTTTTTCATTAACTTACTTCTCCTACTTCTACTCTACTTCTCTACTTCTACTCTAATTCTCCTACTTCAGGTATAGTAGCTGTTTTAATAGCCAAAGCTGGACATGTTTGGGTTAGCTGACCGGAAGAGTTTCTATTGTATACCTTATCCCTAACATTGCAACAGGTTTGCTATTGTTAGGGAATAGATTAGCCTACGCACAGCCGCAACTAATAAGTACCAAAGGACGAAGGTCAGCCAGCCCTAACACCACAAACACGACCACCTGTTAAAAACTAACATCTGACAGTGCCAAGCGAATAACATTCCTAATGTGGCAATAAGTAAATTCGCCAGCTAAGCATAAATTAAAGTACAAGTAAAAACAAAAGATCAGAACAGGAAAACAGTACGTGGACAAAAACAAGACTTAAGGAAACAAAAACTAAACTTAAAAGATAAGATAGATCTGTCTTAAAAATAACTATCAAAATACTTCACAACACAGGTTAGCAGATGAAATCATGACTGGGACGAAAACCAGGGGATGTTTCTTTGTACAAATGATAACAAAATATTGCTTAGCAAGGCTCGTAATAAAAGGTTGCCGCAACTGCCATGAAGAAAATGGCGTAGCATTCGTTTTGTAGTTACAGAAGAGCTGTAGTTGGGGGCGGTAATAATAGCTGGAATTGTACACTCGAGGCAAGAATATCGCTCGAAGCCTTCTTTTTTAATTACAACCAATAGGATAACCTTAATATTTTTCAAAACGTTTTCCTTCTACTCGCAGTCAGAAAATGTCTGAAGATCAGACTTTTCAAGTTCAGATCATTGTCTCAAATCTTACTAATGTGCGTAGTAACGGCATTAAAGAACGCTTGACTTCATGAAACCAGAAAAAAAAAATTAAATGCAATATGATTACTTAAGCTTACCGGTCGAGATGCAGCTCGTGAAAGCTATTAAATAACGCCAGAATAGCTTAAGACTTTTCAACGCTCTTACGCGTCCATCAAGGCGAAATAAGCTTACTAAGAATACAGTAGCTTATTTTTGAAACGATGATTCCCGATTACTTTTTGCCCAACCCAATAAACAAGCCAGCCAATAATGACAAAATAATCTTGATAGCAGCTGTATTTCTCTTTGAAGATCCAGCGCTAAAAGAAGGTTAAAACATGATAAGATGACACAAAACTGTGTCAGCTTCAGCCATCAGTAAACAAGTGTCCAGATACTGCATAAATTTTCCACATGAATCCTCGCGTAAGCTTTCGCCTGTTAATTCTTGCTTTACCTGTTAAAAACCTTCTTGATGTGCTCTTTCGTGTGTTTAGGTCTTCTAAAGCGTCTTTTAATGCCCTGACATCTTTATTCATAACATTTTAAAACTTCCGTGGCCATCTTGGCACTGAGACGTCCGGAAGGTTGCCATGGCAATTTTGTATTTTCACATGTGAAATGATAAATTAACGCCGAAAGCTCGCTCCAAAATTATTTTACGTGAATAACCTATCATCATGAGCCAAAAGTTTTCTTTCAATAATAAACAGGCAACAATGTTAACTGTATTTATGAGCTTGTCTTGCGTCTAACCCCAAGGCCTAACCCTTCGCTAGATGATCTTGATGCTCTAGGGAAATCCCGTATTTAATAATATAAGTTTGAATAGAAAAGGAGAGACGCTTTCAAAGTCATGCTATTTGCTTGATTGCTAGTGCATGCTTCTCTAGCTTTAACTTGGATATTTTTTTTCCAGGTGGCGGCGGTGGTGGCTTTTACTCCGGTGGGAGAAGCTCAAAGCAGTTCGGGGGTTCAGGGAATGGCGGAGAAGGAGGCAAAGGATTTCTTCAAGGGGGAGTGGGTGGAAGAGCCTGGTACAACAATATCGAAGGAGGGTTTGGAGGAGGTGGTGGTGCTTATGGACGCGGAGGAGGTGGTGGAGGTGGCGGAGGCTACTCTGGAGGAGGTAGCGGTGTAAATATAGCGGATGCCTGCGGAGGAGGGGGAGGATCCTACAGCGCTGGAAAGAATCAGCAAAATGAATGTTGTTACAATACAGCTGGACATGGTCAGGTGACCATAACATTAATATAGATTAGAATACAAAGCAGTGTGGCTATACCCGTCTCCAAAAGTCGTTTGGTATTACAAAAAAGAAATGTTAATTACATTGTTATTACATCTCGCATAAAAGATAAGGAGGATATTAGCATCTTCCCAGCGTGTCTTGCGCGTATTTCGGGCTGATTGTTTACGGTCTGTCAGATGAAAACCCGAATTTTACTTAAAGTTTCGGAGAAATTTTCGCCGCTTTAAAGATGAGATATGGAGGTAAAGGAGGTCTTAGCGTAATTTCTCATCTTTCATTAGGAGACAGAATAATTTCTTGATTAAATTATCCTGTTTTCTGTAAGATTTGACCGTGTGACCTTTCTCTCGTCATGCATCACTGCTTATCTGTTGTTGACGGGGGAGGGATTGGGGTTGAATTATTCATTTCGGTAATCAAACGAGGAGTACGATTGAGAATTGAAACAGAAATCCACTCTGTTATACTTTAAACATTCTAAGGGCCTGTTTATATGGAGGAGGGGACCACAGCCGAGGTAACCTGCTTAGGTGGGTAACCCGTTTGTCCATATAATCTCTCATTAGGGCCTGTTTACATGGAGGTGGGGGACCCCAGGTAGGTGAGATAACCTGCTTTGGTGGGTAACCCGCCTGTCCACATAATCTCATTATAATTTGATCACGTTTACATGATAGGTGGGGTGACCCGCCATATTTTACCTCACCTACCTGAGGTCCCCCACCTCCATGTAAACAGGCCCTAAAGAAACCAATCGACTCCTTTCGACTCCACACTTTCCCAGAAACTTTTCATCTCAAACATGAGGTACTTTTAGGGCTATCTACTATGATAAGAGACATTACCTCCCTTTGCGCGCGGAGTGCATCTGGTAATATTTTCAACAAGTTTCCATTGAAATAGGATTCCATTTACTTTTTCGTATATTCAGACAGGGGATTACTGTAACTGTGGCTGTTTCACGGCAGTGGTGTTGGAGGTGAACAGTGTTTGAAGCTGCGAAGACGCGTACATGTTTGTATTTTTGCCAGCTCAGTAAGTGGGTTATGGGCTCCTGGTGGCGACCAGTAACTGGTCAGACATGTTTATAACCATGGATGTATTAAAAATCGCGTACCGAGTTTTTCGCAGCCAGATTCTTTGACATCTTCTACATTCAATGCATATTTCACTCCAGATTAAGTAGCCAGCGTTTGAGAAGTATTATTGACAACAACAACAACAACATAAGCTTTATTTGCATGACTATAATTATGTAGTTACAGTATTGCAAAAGCTTTAACATAAAAAAAAACAAACAAACAAACAAACAAATCATAACAATGATAATGCAATGCAATAATTACGGTAGTCAATCAAGTGTCATCAGCATGATTTGATAACAAATTATTACGTAAATCATTACATAATGAGACAAATTTCAACAAATGTGAATTTACGGAAAAATTCTGTGAATTCATCAATTTAATTATTAATTCTGTGTAAGATAGCTGATTAAAGTCGACAAAATTTTGTTGGATTTGATTGTAGAATTTCTCCCTTGGGATTGAGTATTTTGGACAATGAAAGAGAAAATGAAATTCGTCTTCAATTTTACCAGAGTTACAAATAGGGCAGAATCTATCGTGGCGGGAAGTTTGATTATATCTTCCAGTTTCAATCATGAGTTTGTGGTTACTTATACGAATTTTCACTAAATCTTTCCTATTAGCAGAATTTCTAATTAAGTCTAGATAACTTGAAATTTTATAATCATGTTTAAATAAGCTGTAAAATTGTAGTTTCTTAGAATGATGGATTGTATGTTGCCAATATGCAATATATTGAATATTTATTTTCTCGCAGACCCCCGTGACATTAAGGGTTTATCAGCTTTTATTTATACCTGGATTTTTGAAAACAGGGTTAGCAAAAATAGCAACTCATTCTTTTACTCGACAATTTAAAACAGTAAAACTCATTCAAATACCGATTAAGAGCGTTTATCTGACGCCGGGCAGTAAGTTAATGGTCCCCAGAAGCATTCCAACGAGTCCAAATTTAAAATGACGCAGTTTAGAAGCAGAGGAGGTTGCACAACAGTTCGCAAAGGATCACGGGGCAAATTATCAACTCGCTGGCAGTTACAACAAAACCATCGACCAAGACGGATCTCCGTGATGCACGCCTTTTTGCCGATTTTAGCCACAATTGTGCTAGAATTCCGAATATTTCCGAACAAAACCTTTATCCTATCAAAGATGTTATAAATTTCTCACGGCTAAGTGGTTGAGATTCCTTTAAAACATGTTATTTTGGGTCGTTGAAAGTTGGCCGGCTTGTGACTTGCGAACAAAGCGAGCTGTGTCATCTATGTGCTTTCGCCTTTCCAGACTGAGGAGGTTATTGCGAATACACATTCAACTGACCGATTAAGAATTCGAATAATGGTCAGCAGGCTAATGGGCATGACAAATGTCCCACAGATTTGAGATTTTTAATTGATCGATGGTCCGCTTGAGTTCATTCTTTTG